GACCTTCTGGCTCAAAGGCCAATACTCTACCAAAAACAAAAAAAACACATTTAAATATAAGGGTTCGCGAGCTGTAATAAAATGCCAGTTATCCAATGAGCCGGTGGTGACCAAAAATGAAAAGATTTGCCACGGTGCAGAAAGGTCGGGATCACAGCTGTAGGGTCCTGTGAAAAGCACTTTATGATGAGCACTTTGAAGTTTTTAAGTATTTTCCACTTCTGCCTCCTCCTTTTGAGCTCTACACAGCACTTACACAGGCTTGTATCTCTATGTTTTGCTATGAACTCAAATAAACAATGTGAACGGATGGCTGTAGTCATGACAACAGGCTGTTACGGTACGACTACAGTGTGGCCCAATCACACCAACGTCTAACACACAGAGTCAGTGCTGTGATGGGAGACCGCTGGAACACCTGGCGCCACAGCGGGACGGCTGAGGCTCTCGTCAGTCTGTCCCAGGGCAGCTGTGGCTAAACTCATAAATTGTTGCTATTGATGCTTCTGTTGTTTATATTTTGAGAATACAATCAGGACATAACTACTTCATTTACAGTGTGAGCGTAAAAGAGGGAAGGTCCAACACTTACCGTAAATTCCAGTCTGCAAACCCCGGCTTTTTTCCTGCATTTTGAACGCTGCGTAACGTCAGGTTTATTTTTAGCATTTTTTGTGACACCAAAAACATTTTGCCAAGTTACAGTAGAGCAACAGATTAGTAGTTCACAGAGGTCAAATCAAATTGTAGGATTTAATAAAGTTTAAAAGTCCTCACTTATGATATCTTTGTGTAAATATCTTGTATAATAAATAGTTCTTTGGTTCTTTGTATAAACATGTTAGTGAAACGAGACCAGTAGATGTTGCTCCTGACCTTTCTGCTTCACATCTCTCCTGAAGGGCTGTTGCTTATTATAGCTTTTTAGAAGGATCAATTTTGTTTTTTATTTTTGCTGCTACTAGACACCTGAATTCTATCTATCTGTCTAAAAACAGTCAGTGACTCACTTCTGGCTCACAGTATAAAGGAGACGTGATGGTGTGGGATAAAGCTTATAATCCAGTGTGGCTCGTACAATTCCAAAATTAAATTTCTTTAAAAAAATTAGAGCCTGCGGTTTATAATCAGGTGCGGCTTACAGTCCGGAAACTACGGTAAATATACGAGGCCTTAATAGTTACTTACGACTTTTAAAGTAAGTAAATAAGTAATGTTTATTTATACAGCGCATTTAACAGACCAGGGTACAGACCCAAAGCACTTTACAACGTTCAGAGTCAGATATTGTTCCAATCATTCCACACACGGTGATGACGGAAGCGAGTCCAGAACACACTGCACCACCAGCCCCCAACCAACACCATCCATTCACTCTCTCATTTACATTCATACCTATTGTGCATGTTTTTAGTGGTAGGGGAAACCGGAGCACCCGCAGGAAACCTACGCTGACACGGGGAGAACATGCAAACTCCACTCAGAAAGGCCCTGATCCGACCTGGATTCGAACCCGGGACCTTCTTTTAAAGACTGAAGATCCCCCCCCCCCGACATGCAAAGAACCAGCCACTATTGTATATATATATAGAACATGGTTTTAATTTAAAAAAAGAAATAATTTGCATCATTTGTGACAATAACAGTGAAGAAATAATCTGAAAGTTTCGATACATATGAACATCCAACTAGTCCCAGCGTGGACACCAGCAGCACCTCTCTAGTATACTATACATCTGCTTACAATACAGTACTTACAGTTTGAGAAGGGAACATAAATACGTGTGTTTGTTTCTATGACAACAGATCTCTGAAGATAAAATAGTCGGTATAATATTAAGAGCTTCCTTGGCTTCAGAACCGTGTGATTATTATTGTATTTAAGGCAAAAACTTGAAAGCCACAGAACAGTATTTATACAGTGAGTCCGAGTTGCCTTGTCGTTCAGTCAGTGCAGATGAAGGCTACTGTCGGGTCGGAGAGTGTTATAGGCTCTGCTACAGATACGACTGAGGATGTGCAAGACGGAGAACGCCGAATCCAATCTTTTCCAAACGACGCTGTGACCGTAACTCTCTCAGATTTACGATGTATTGCACGGAGCAGTTTTTTTTGTGATGACCTATTGCTGTTCGTTTGACATTTCGACAAAGACGATGACGGACATGTGTGACCAGGTTAGGGTTACAATCATTCAGCAGGAGAGACGAGACGGTGGCAGCAAAAAAACGCCGTTTGCAGGGTTTTTTTTTGCTCTCAGCCGTCCGCCCGCCCGACCATCCCCGACTGTAAACAACACACTGAATAAATTAAGTAAAATCTCAAGTAGATCACCCTCCAAAAAGAGACCCACTAACTCACACTATGGCACCCGAGTCCGTCTCCACAAAAGAAAGCACAACATGACAAAAGGGACTACGTTTGTACAAAATATTGGTCTTCGAGGCGGGACGGGGGGTCTCTCTCTCTCTCTCTCTCTCTCTCTCCCCCTCTCTCTCTCTCAGAAGACCCAGCTGACCGGGACCCACTGCTGCTCCATGGAGAGTTTGTCCAGAGCCGAGCGTAGACTCCGGAAGGCTGCGTCCAGGCCGTCGTTGACCATGCACAGGTCAAAGTAGTGTCCGTAGGCGCGCTTGATTCGCTCGCTCTCGTCTCCGGTCCTCTTCAGCTCAGAGTCCTGCACACCAGGGGGGGAAGAACCAGGGGAGACCAGGGGAGACCAGAGAACACGTTATAGATATTTTATGACACTTATGTTAAAGCTTATCATTAGACGCAAAAAGTAAACTCTGAATAAGATTTATTTACTAAAAATAACTAGGGCTGTCAAAATTATCGCGTTAATTCACGTTAATTACCGTTTTCATTAACGCGTTAAAAAATAATTAACGCATTAACTGCCCGTTTCCTGCTATTTTCACGTTCCCAGATGTCTGTTGTATCAAATATGTAAGGCTTGAGGCAATATTTTATCGAGCCAGCAGATGGCAGCATTGCTCTATGAATGGGTTGAAAACAGCTAGAGGCACAAGTGCCTCTTTTTTCTCAGCTTTCTGGTGATTTCAATAAAACTTACCTCTACTCGACTGGGGATTACAGGGGAACGAAACAAGCTAGAAACAAAATTATTTTTGCTGATGAAAGTAGACAGTCCATTCTTTCAGAATCTGGTTTTGTATTTCAGATAGTCATAGTACACAATATTCTGTGGGTACCTGTTCGAAAATAGGCTGGCAGTCAATCACATGTCCAAATGACCCGCCCATTTATAATAATATCACTCAGAATGCCACGGACACGTGCGTGTGTGATGGTGACAGCGGTAACGTGGTCATATAATACACACATATATACACACACAGGGGCCATTCTCTGATGATGGAGGAGAGGAGGAGACACGCTGAAATGCAACCAAACTCGCAAAATTAAAGCTGGGGTACCTACATTATCCCTTTCATTAACAGCTCTTGTTGGTTGTGCCCAAAAGTAGAAGGTTGTGAGCAAGTCAAACAGATTTAAGTACATTTGGTATGAATAACAATGTGTCATTACATTTGAAAATCTCATTTAACTTCATTTGGAGTGGATTTGAAATAGAATGTAAAAAATGCGATTAATCGTGAGTTAACTCATCATTACTATGCGATTAATCAACTAAAAAAACTGCTGTGAGTGTGATAAATATATATATAATATAAATATATTATTTACTGATAACATTTCATAATCTTATTAGAGAAAAACGTTGGAGCAGTGAGTTTTTAAGATTGTTTGAAGTCTTTTTTTCTTATTTCCAGAAAAATGTTCTTGTTTAGATAAAAATACGTTTGTGATGCTATATTAAGAAAAAAAATCTCAAGAATGTTTAAGAAGCAAGTAAATAATACTTGAACTGTATTTTTATTCTAGATTCAAGACGTTCGGGGCTTGTATTATTTTCCTATTTCCAGCATTCTTGTCAAGTCAAATATTCTTGTTCTATTGGCAGATATTTTTTCTTATTTTAAGCATTACTCAATAAATCTTATTTTCATAAATGTTTCTTATTTTTTTCAAAGAATTCTTTCCAGTGTGCGACAGTCTGCAGGAGTCTGCTTTGTCTTCTATAAAACCTGGTGTTAAAGTGTGTCTGCTGTAAGGACGTCAACACATGCAGCCTCTGTGTCTCAGATGTGTGCGTCTGTGTGTGTGTGCGTCTGTGTGTGTATGCGTCTGTGTGTGTGTGTGTCTGTGTGTGTGGGTCTCTGTGTGTGTGTGTGCGTCTCTGTGTGTGTGTGTGCGTCTGTGTGTGTGTGCGTCTGTGTGTGTGCGTCTCTGTGTGTGTGTGTGCGTCTCTGTGTGTGTGCGTCTGTGTGTGTGTGTGAGCGTCTGTGTGTGTGTGCGTCTGTGTGTGTGCGCGTCTGTGTGTGTGTGTGTGTGTGCGCGTCTGTGTGTGTGTGTGTGTTTGTGTGTGTGCGTGCGTCTGTGTGTGTGTGTGTGTGTGTCTGTGTGTGTGTGTGTGTTTGTGTGCGTCTGTGTGTGTGTGTGTGCGTCTGTGTGTGTGTGTGCGTGCGTCTGTGTGTATGTGTGCGTGTGTGTGTGTGTGTCTGTCTGTGTGTGTGTGCGTGTGTGTGTGTGTGTGAGTCTGTGTGTGTGTGTGTGTGTGCGTGTGTGTGCGTCTGTGTGTTTGTGTGTGTGTGTATGTGTGTGTGTGTGTGTGTGCGTCTGTGTGTGTGTGTTTGAAGCTAAACGCTGTGAGCCATGGAACACTAGTGCTTTGAGAAGCATCTGTTGGAACGCCGAGCGACGGCAGAGACGCCGCTCGGTGAGATTAGATCCTCGACACCAGCAGCAGATTTAACCATCGAGACAAACACAGATCTTTTTGGCTGTTGTTGTGCGTCTGAGCTGATCAAATGGAGTCACGAGGAAGAGAAAGTACGACTCAATCCAACACCACATGTTTCAGATGTGTTTGAAACCTCTCCGAAGATAATGCACCGCAAAAAGTGATGAAATCTTAGTAAAATATTGCTCAAATTTGGCAAAATGTTTCTTAGTTTGGGCACATTCTGGCTGCTTAACCCATTCATGTTTACTCAGAAAAGAACGCAAAGTAATGTTTTTGTTTGTTTTAATTTTCTAAGATGTAAAAGCACTGATAACAAGAATATTTTTTTTTTGTTTTAGTTTTTTTATTATAGGCCTCTATGTGCAGCTTGAAGGTAAATGTGACTAAAACAATGTTATGGAGATTCCCAAATGTGGAAGATTTCAGTTCCAAGCTTCAGGATGCAGCCGGAGGAAGCAGTACGTCTGGCTGCATTTGTGATCCACCAAACTGTTGCCCGAACCATTAAAGGGTTAAAACAAAATTTGCCAATGAGACAAAGCAAAATTATGCTGTTTAAAAAGATCGTAGAAATGTCTCCTTGGAATGAGAAAATGAAGCAACAGTTTTTGAATTAAGCCTAAATATCTTTGTCCCATTGGAGAATCTTATTACCTCATAATGTATCATTTGGTTGTGTGTCATTCTGTACTGTCTTGTGTTTGTGAGTTAATGTGATACAGATGTGGAGCATGTGTTGGATGTTACCGTGAGCTGTTTGGTGACCACTCCAGACTCGATGGCTGTTCTGTTCATGGCTTTTAGCACCTCAAAGTCTGGGGCTTCGATAAACACCACGTACGGCAAGAACTCGGAGGTACGTAGCACTTTGAGAGCCTGAAACAGACACACACAGACACAGGCAGGCCGGGACACACGCAGACACACACACACACAGACACACACACACAGGCAGGCACGCACGCAGACACACACACACACAGACACACACACACAGGCAGGCACACACGCAGACACACACACACAGGCAGGCAGGCACACACGCAGACACACAGACACAGGCGGGCAGGCACACACGCAGACACACACACACACACACACAGACATACACACGCAGACACACACACACAGGCAGGCACACACGCAGACACACAGACACAGGCGGGCAGGCACACACGCAGACACACACACACACACAGACATACACACGCAGACACACACACACAGGCAGGCACACACGCAGACACATCCAGACACAGGCGGGCAGGCACACACGCAGACACACACACACAGGCAGGCACACATGCAGACACACACCGACACAGGCGGGCAGGCACACACGCAGACACACACACACACACACAGGCAGGCACACACGCAGACACACACAGACATACACACGCAGACACATATACACAGGCAGGCACACACACACCCACACAGGTGCACACACACACACCCACACAGGCAGGCGGTTACACAGACAGACAAACACACACACAGGCAGACACACAGACACACACAAACACAGGCAGACATGCACACAGACAGGCCCGCACGCACACACACATGTAAACAAACACACACAGACTCACGCACACACGCATAGACGCACACAAATCCCCCAGGCACCACACACACACACACACACACATTCGTCAAGTTAATAAAGGTAAATGATTATTATTTTGTGTAGCAGTTCACGTTGTCATCACCAAACGACTTTCAAATCGATAAACACAGACAGGACATAAGCTTCAGGCCCTGAAGGATCCATCAGTCTGTTTCTGATGTACCACAAAGATTGAACAACACAATATTAACATAAAGTTGTGCAGGAGATAATTAAAGGGGAAGTCTTTCTGTTGGAACACACACACACACACAATGCTACACAACGCTACACAACCCTCTGGCCCAGTTCATCTGATGTTTTATGCTCCTCCTTTGGGCGACGTGAAGCCGGCGTCTGCATATTTCACCGTGATTTATAAAGTGAGCCACATAAAACCCATTGTTTAAAGTGAAGTTGAAAAAGTGCTGCTGGATGATGGTGCTGCTGAGAGGAGCGCCTCGGAGTCCTGCCTCCTACACGCTTTTGCCGGAGTGAGCTTTAGTCAAACAACCGTCTTTACAGAGCGCCCGTTACCATGGCAACAGATGGATCGGGTTGGACTCCACTTGGTTTAGACGCGCTGGGACAAGACTCGTTCACTCAGCGGGTTACGTTGGTGTTGTAGAGTTGGAAAAATAATCTGTCCTGTTGTTTTCCCGGATTGATATTTTCTTTGACAGGGATTAGACTCACAAAGTTGCCGTGTTATTGGTATGTCTGACTCATCAAGATTCAAGATTCAAGAAGTTATTTGCCATGAGATGACCCCAGTGTGCGCCAGACCCTGTAGATTGTTCCAGGAAATACAGAGAATTTAGCTCCGTCATCACACATTCCAAAGAGTTAATGGTGACGTTCAAAGGTCAGATTGTGGCCTCAGTTCAGAGGTCCTTTCTGGGCTGGTCCATCTGAAACAAAGGTCTAAAGAGCATTGGCAGTATTGGTTGTATTGGCACCTACCCTCCAACTGAAATATATTAGTCCATAAACAAAACTTGGAGAAAAACACATGGTTTAGGTCGAGCTCTCCTGCGTGTATTTGGAAGAGCCAGAGATACAGTCAAATGTAACTCTGACAAAACTAGCCACAGTAATAGTTAATTAATATTATTATATAGTGCTTAAACAGTATATCAGTGTCTTAGCACCTACTTCACGACTTTCACTGATGTCTGCTGTCGTGTGTCCTTAGGCAAGACACTTAACTCCACTTTGCCTTAAGCCCCTGCTCTGACTGCCACCCCCCGACCCAGAATAGGATTAAGGGGAAAAAAATGGATGAATGGACGGATATCAGTGTCTACTATACATTTTTTTTATCAATGCAGGGATACTGTACAAAGTCAAATATATCAGAGGCGCATAAACACATTTCCACCAAACCGAGGGCCGGGCTGGTTCAAGTCTTATAAAACATACTGTATTCACATGATGCATATAACCTATTGAACATTGAATTGAGTATTTTATTTAATGACTAAATTAATAATCCAAAATGTTTGTATGGCCGTTAGTCATTTCAAGTGAACACATTTTTCACAGAGAAAAACAAACTTCCTTCAAAGAGAACATGCACAATACAATAAATTCTTATGGTTCTGTGCGGCCGGTTCTAATACTAATCAAATACCATCCCAGGGGCCAAGATGGTACACTATGCATTTGTGTTCTCCATGGTTGGCTGCAGTCATTAAGTAGACCACAATTGTATTCTGCTAAACGGAGCCATTTCTGTTTTATGAAAGTGGCTCTCCGATCTAAAAGTGTTGGAGACCCCTGCTATAGCTGCTGTTTTCTCTACGTCTTCAAGTGAGAATCCAAAAGTGACAGTGGCCTGCTCTGATTGGCCCTGGCGCTCGTACCTGCGGGTTCACGTCCAGAATGCAGATCTTGCTGGTCTCGATCACCTCGTGGATGGAGCTGATTTTGGTGCCGTACAGGTTTCCGTCGTACTCCCCGTGTTCCAGAAACTTCCCGTTCTTGATGTCGCTCTCCATCTCGTGGCGACTCATGAAGCAGTACATCTGGCTGTCCCTCTCGTCCGCTTTGGGTTTCCTGGAGGTGACTGCGGAGAGAGAGCACAGACGATATACGCCAAACTCAGCAAAAGTTGGAGATGGCGGGGACGGTGACGGATCTGAGGCTCACAGGGGACCGTGGTGCCGTAGCGCTGGGAGTCCGACACCAGCAGCTTGTTCTTGAGACTGCGCCGACCCACTCCCTGCGCTCCGATCAGGACCAGGACCTTCCTTCTGAACGGAGGAACTTTGGCCACTTCCTCGTAGATTCTCAACTCGTGGCGATCGAACTCTGCAACAAAAACCCCGTTCAGCATCGTCCTATATCTTTAGATTAGATTTAGATTCAACTTGATTGTCATTACCAAGTCAAAACAATGCAACAAAATGCAGTTTAGCGTCTAACCAGTAGTGCAATAGCGCAAGTATAGGATAATATTAAAAACACAGATAATTCATGTGAGACTATGCAAGCTGCTATTGCTAGTATGTACATTCATTACAGAGCATCTAATGGGTTTTAATAATACCTGCATTTTTGGTCGTCAAATACATCATCTTTTTCTTCTTCTTGCCCCCCATTCCAGCGCACAAAGGACCTGCGACAGACACAGACCATGACTCACTCCATGCAGTATCGGTCCGACAAAGCTGCAGTTATAATGATCTGCGGTAAAAGGGCAGGTGTCATTGAAAAAAAAACCGCCTCATCAATCCCTCAGCCAGCGCCAGGCCTGACCACTAGGGGGCACTGTGCGTCTATGCAAATCCTGCGCAGAGAGGGCTTGCTGCTGCCAAGGGAACACCTGTGACCGGCCTGTCTCATTGACCATCTGTCCATATGGCGTTTTGACAAGCTCTAGGACGCATAGACTGTCGCTGTCATTGTAAGGTGAACTCCAATACGTATCTCGCAAAAAAAACAAAAACGCTCATTGCTTTGGGGAAAGTGGAGAAGAAATGGAATGGGTTTTTTTTCGAGCGACTAAGTTTGCAGAGGCAATTACATCCAAGGACGAGGAAGCAGCCTCATCTTTCTCGAGTCGTCTGAGTCATCGCGTTTGCCTCTGCTCCCTCTGCACCTCAGAAAAACCTGTGCTGTTTTTTCATTTGCATTCGCCATGGTGATCATGGGCTGATTGAAAAGGCTCCTCGAGTCGCGTCGACCCTCATTACGGCGGGAAAACAATAGCGAGAGAGGTGCGAGGAGGAGGAGGAGGAGGATGGGAGTCTGAATACATGAAATGGCTTGGATCTGCATAAAGGAGAGGCGCCATCTGCACACACCTGAGGTCACCAGCTCCAGGTCTCTCTTCACGAACGCTTTTCTCTTCTCCTCCAAGAGCTGGCTGGGAATAAGCCCCGCGCTGCCTCCCTCTATGTGACAGGCCTGCAGGGAGAACACACACACACACACACACAGACGCACACACACACACAGGGGAAAACAAACGCTCTCAGATCTCTGTCTGATCTGGGGTGCGGGGCGGGGCGTACGGACCTGCCACCAGTTGAGGTCCTCCTGGTTGAAGATCTGCAGGATGTCTCCGCTGGTGAAGCTCAGACCGGCCTCTTTGCAGGGGATCAGATTGTCGTGGGACGGGTCGTAGTCAAAGTGGCATTTCACAAAAGCCTGCGGAGAAGACAGAGAGCAGGATGAGAGAGTGAAAGTGAAGTCAGGGGTCTGTACGCTTAAAAAGAAGCCATTAAAGCTGGGGTACGTGATTATTTTTGATCCAACCTGTTCCATTGGAGAGCAACTTTTTCAGGAATCCTAACCCTAACACTGGCAGAGAGCTACTCGTTTTAGACAGTCGACAAAATGTTGTGTTACAATGGATTAAGTAGTTTATATCTTGATTTAAAAATAATAATTAACTGCAACAACCAGCTTTAGTCTTATTTTCACAGTTTAAGCAAATGTGTTATGTGTTCTATTGGCATTTTTTGTGTTCTATTCCCACACACAAATCTATCACAATCATTTCTATATTTACTCATAAATCAATCCTTTGGGGAGGTACTTTGAAGAGGGTGCGAGGTACTGGTAAGAGATGTCGGCTGTAGACTCACAAAGAATGCTTTTAAAGAATCATTAAACAAATAACATTGTGTTGTACATTTAAATAATACATTGTGTTTGTCCCTACAGAAAGACGAAACTGAACCAATCAAACGAGCCGGCTTCATCTCATTCAAAAACACGTGAGTACCCTGAGTCACTCTTTGAGCTGAGTGAGGCTGGTCCTGTCTTTTAGGGCGACAGTAGCTCAGTTGGTAGAGCATTGATCTTTGAGCCAGAGGGTCGTGGGTTCGAGCTCGACTTTCACCATCGACTCCCACTGATGTCTGCTGTTGTTGTGTTCTTGGGCAAGACACTTAACCTCTGGGAACACCTGATGCCAAAGTGGATCGGCTGCGGCTGTAAAGCGCCAAACTGCCATTGTGTCCTTAGGCAAGACACTTCACCCCTATTGCCTAGAATGAGTCTGGTGTGTGTATGAATGGTTGGTGGTGGTCGGAGGGGCCGATGGCACATACTGGTTGCCTCGCTTCTGTCAGTGTGCCCCAGGGCAGCTGTGGCTACAGTAGTAGTTTATCACCACCGTGTATGGAGTGAATAAACATGTCTTTGAGTGTCCAAATAAGCGCTGTATTAAACTGATGCATTATTTTTATATATATTTTCCTCGTTTCCGTCTGAAAAAGCTGATCTAGAAATGAGTCAGAGGTCATAAAAACATGCATGTGAAAACTAGTGACATAAACTGTTTTTGAACCAGGAACTAATTTTAGTTGTGGTTTGAAAGTTAAGCACCCCAGCTTTATGTGAAGGGGATCCACAATGACCTTCAACAACATTTATGGATATTAGTCTCCTGCTACTTATGGACTAATGTCTCTGTGTTTTTATCATTGCATTTCCTCTATCTGAACTGTTTACATGTTCTCCCCGTGCCTGCATAGGTTTCCTCTAGGTCAGAGGTGTCAAACTCATTTTGGTCCGGGGGCCACATACAACCTAATCTGATCTCAAGTGGGCCGGACCAGGAGATGCTCTACAAAAATATCCAAAAACGGAACAAAGTCCAACTTTTTGTGCACATAAACACATTTATTTAAAACTTCCTTTAAAACACTATCCTTTAATACTCAGTTTTCTGTTACAAACTTAAATGTAACAGTGAGTTTTCCATAGTGCAAATAATGTAATGTATTTACAATATTACATTGAAAATGGTATTTCACAATATGTATATTAATATTTGTATGTTAGCTTTGTTTTAAGGCTCATTACAGAGAAAACCTGCTCACAGAGGTAAAGTAGGTAGATAGAAAAAAGCACTTAAACACAGCACCTCAGCTTAACCACCTTCAGTGTGGTCAGGTCCATGGTTATGTTATTATCACATTAACCACCTTCAGTGTGGTACGGTCCATGGTTATGTTATTATCACATTAACCATCTTCAGTGTGGTAAGGTCCATGGTTATGTTATTATCACATTAACCATCTTCAGTGTGGTAAGGTCCATGGTTATGTTATTATCACATTAACCATCTTCAGTGTGGTCAGGTCCATGGTTATGTTATTATCACATTAACCATCTTCAGTGTGGTAAGGTCCATGGTTTATGTTATTATCACATTAACCATCTTCAGTGTGGTAAGGTCCATGGTTATGTTATTATCACATTAACCATCTTCAGTGTGGTAAGGTCCATGGTTATGTTATTATCACATTAACCATCTTCAGTGTGGTCAGGTCCATGGTTATGTTATTATCACATTAACCATCTTCAGTGTGGTAAGGTCCATGGTTATGTTATTATCACATTAACCATCTTCAGTGTGGTAAGGTCCATGGTTATGTTATTATCACATTAACCATCTTCAGTGTGGTAAGGTCCATGGTTATGTTATTATCACATTAACCATCTTCAGTGTGGTAAGGTCCATGGTTATGTTATTATCACATTAACCATCTTCAGTGTGGTAAGGTCCATGGTTATGTTATTATCACATTAACCATCTTCAGTGTGGTAAGGTCCATGGTTATGTTATTATCACATTAACCATCTTCAGTGTGGTCAGGTCCATGGTTATGTTATTATCACATTAACCATCTTCAGTGTGTAAGGTCCATGGTTATGTTATTATTACATTAACCATCTTCAGTGTGGTAAGGTCCATGGTTATGTTATTATCACATTAACCATCTTCAGTGTGGTCAGGTCCATGGTTATGTTATTATCACATTAACCATCTTCAGTGTGGTACAGTCCATGGTTATGTTATTATCACATTAACCACCTTCAGTGTGGTAAGGTCCATGGTTATGTTATTATCACATTAACCACCTTCAGTGTGGTAAGGTCCATGGTTATGTTATTATCACATTAACCACCTTCAGTGTGGTAAGGTCCATGGGTATGTTATTATCACATTAACCATCTTCAGTGTGGTCAGGTCCATGGTTATGTTATTATCACAGAGAAAGCATCAAACTGATAGTTTCAGTAACACCACAAATGAATATGTGACATCAGTAACATCAGTCTCTTATCAATGGCAACATGTTGGTAAAAGCGAGTGGTTTCTCAGACCATGTCTGCAGCCTGTAAGAGAGATTTAACAAACTCTCTCTCACTGTGCGGCTGCGATGCTAATGCTAATGTTGTTAGCACAGGTAGCTTCCCTTTACAGCAGCAGAACTAACCTCTCGCTCTGGGCACAAACAGACTGCTGTGTCTTCAGGGCCAGACATGTTTATCTTCTGTTTTCTCAATTCTCCGCTCAAAGTGCCGTATTTTTCGCCGAGTCTTGTAGTTTAAGATGTTATTCCTTCAGCACCGCTCTGGTGGAGCCACTACAGACGCACTGGACTCACCCCTGAGCGCGGCGCCTCGCGGCGCGGAGCCTCGCGTCGCCTTGCGTCGCGGAGCGGCTTTTTAAAATGTAACTTTATTATATTTTTACATAAATGAGCCACGGGCCGTGTCAAATCTCTTGGCGGGCCGGTTCCGGCCCGCGGGCCGTATGAATGACACCCCTGCTCTAGGTGCTACGAAACAGAAGGGGCTTCCTGTATCCGGTGAGCGTGTTTCTTGACTGCTATCACTCTGCTCTCTGTTTGCACTAACAAACACATTACAAATCCACGTATTGTACACCAAGCTAACTGTGTAAGCACTCCGAGTCAGCTGTACTGCAGCTGAGGTTTAGGTAGCGGTTGTTTGTCTGGTCTCGGAGTCTGTTGTGCGGGCCCGGATCCGGACTAGCTTAGCCTAGCCTAGCTTAGCCTAGCCTAGCCGCTAACTCGCTACTATGGCGGCTGCTGTCTCTCCCTCAATCCTTTACTGCTCGAGTTGCCATATGGCGAGTCTAAACCCTGGATCCTTCTCTGAGGGTAGTGATAGATGTGTGAAGTGTAGTGTAGTCGTAGCTCTGGAATCCAGGGTCAGTGAGTTAGAGCTGCGTCTCCGAGCACTGGAGTCTCGAGCTAGCGCTAGCATTAGCTACAGCCAGGCCGTATCCTCAGGGACAGCGGAGCGCAGCTTTAGGGAAAGGCAGAGGAGAACTAGCGAGCCTAGCCTCCCAGCCCGTACTCCGCAGCTGGGACAAGACCAGGATAGTGATGGCTTTGTGACTGTTCGGAGAGGGCGACGTGTTGTTGGTAGTTTCCCCATTGGGCCTCCTCCTGTTAGCATTTACAATCGCTGGGACGCTCTGTCCGGCTGCGCCCCCGCGCGGCCGGGCGGGGAAGAAGGCCCCACTGAGAGAGCCGCTGAGAGAGCTGCTGAGAGAGCCGATGGAGTCGCTGATAATTGGCTCCTCTATTGTTAGAGGTGTTAAGATCCCAGGAGCCACTGTTCGGTGCTTCCCTGGGGCCAGGCTTGGTGATATTGAAGGGAATCTGAGGCTCATGATGACCCACAAGCAGCGTTTCCGTCGAATTGTTATTCACGCGGGTGGTAATGACGTTCGGCGGAAACAGTCCGAGGTGTTGAAGCTGCAAGTCGCCGCCGTGTGCAAGCTGGCTAGCACAATGGCCGACACTGTCATCTTCTCTGGGCCCCTACCTAGCACTAGCAGTGCAGAAGCATTCAGCAGACACTCGGCTTTCAACCGCTGGCTGTCTGGCTGGTGCCCTCGAAGTGGTGTTGTTCATGTTGACAATTGGAGTGCCTTTTGGGGAAAGCCCGGTCTCATCCGCTCGGATGATATCCACCCAACGTTGGCGGGTACATCCCTTTTGGCTAAGAATTTGGCCCTGGCTCTAAACTGTTCTGCTCGGCTCAAATGATGGTGCAGAACTGAGGCCCGGGTGCAGAGCTGCTCTGCCACAACCTCTGAGCCCCCATCTGTTCAGTTACTAGCCTCAGAAGCTAGTCAGATTGAAACTGTGTGTGCATGTGTGTGTGTGCCTGTGTGTGCTCAGTTACTAGCCTCAGAAGCTAGTCAGATTGAAACTGTGTGTGCATGTGTGTGTGTGCCTGTGTGTGCTCAGTTACTAGCCTCAGAACCTAGTCAGATTGAAACTGTGTGTGTTCCCCGCTTGAAGTCTAAAGCACTATATGCGAGGAAATCTGACCTAGGTGTCAGACACAGTAACTTAATAAAAGTTCAGACAGACAGAAATAGTTCTAGCGGTAGGGTTGTTAAATGTGGTTTAATGAACGTCAGATCAATCTCGTCTAAATCGCTTCTCATAAACGAACTTATTATAGACAAGGGCTTGGATCTGTTAGCGCTCTCGGAGACTTGGCTCCAACAGGACGACTACGTTAGATTGAATGAGTGCACTCCTCCGACGCATGTTAACTACCAGAAAGCCAGAGCTACAGGTCGCGGCGGTGGTGTTGCGATTATATCACACACCAACTTGGTTCTTAGTCCCAAAACCAACAACGCTTTTCACTCGTTTGAAAACTTAACACTTTCAATCACCTGTCCTGGGTGGAGAAAACAAAAAGCAGTACTATTTATAGTTTTATACCGACCTCCTGGTCCTTACAGCGAGTTCCTAACAGAATTCTCTGACTTCATTTCAAACCTAGTTTTGGAATGGGAAAACATAGTTATAGCTGGAGACTTCAATATACATGTGGACGACAGCACTGACAGCTTAAACAAAGCTTTCAGCGCCGTACTAGATGGTGTTGGTTTTACTCAGAATGTTGAGGAACCTACTCACATTCATAACCACACCTTGGACCTTGTCCTGACCTACGGCTGTGATGTCTCCAATGTTGACATCCAGCGTCAAAGCTCGTTGCTGTCTGACCATTTCTTGATCACGTTTGATCTCGCTTTGGAGGACTTTCCTGTCCCGCAAGATAAAACCATAATGAAAAGAACCTTAAATGATAAATCTATCACAAGGTTCAAAGAACTAATACAGCCTATGTTGAATACTGCTGCAGGTGAACCTGTTCACAGCAGCTGCAGTCCCTCAGTCATTGACCAAACGGTGGGCAACACTATGGAGTCTTTAAAATCTGCATTAAATGCAGCAGCTCCTTTAAAACAGAAAACCATTAGGATTAGATCATCGTCGCCCTGGTACAGTGTTCAACTCCACACTTTAAAACAGGACGTCAGAAAATTGGAGAGGCTATATCGCCACTCCCACTCGGAGCCTGTCCACAGGGAGTGGAAAGCAGGTCTCCGAAACTACAAGAAGGCCCTTCGCGGGGCTCGAACTCAATACTATTCAACTTTAATAGAAGCGAATAAAAACAACAGTAGATTTTTGTTTGGTACCGTCGCTAAACTCACAAACTGCCATAGCGCAATCGAGCCTAAAATTCCAAGCTCACTGAGCAGTGTCGACTTTCTCCACTTCTTTAATAATAAAATTACATCCATCCGTGACAAGCTGGAGGAGGTTGCTCCTGCTGTTAGTGGTGGACAGGTTGAAGCGGCATACGTGACTTCCCACTTAGACTCTTCAGTGGGCCTTAATAAATTCATGGCTGTGAGCCAAGCAGAGGTGATCTCTGTGGTCACATCCTCAAAAGCCTCAACTTGCATGTTAGACGCAGTCCCGACATGGCTCTTCAAAGACATACTTCCTTTGATAATTGAGCCTATCGTAAATATAATAAACGCATCCATACAATGTGGCTATGTCCCACAAGCTTTTAAAACCGCGGTAATCAAACCCCTTCTGAAGAAAACAAACCTGGACCCAGAAATACTTACAAACTACAGACCGATCTCGAACCTCACTTTTATATCTAAAATCCTGGAAAAACTTATAGCTGAGCAGCTCCGCTGCCACCTGCAGGAAAATGATATGTTTGAAGTCTTTCAATCAGGATTCAGAGCTCATCATAGCACTGAAACGGCACTAGTCAAAGTCACAAATGACTTACTACTAGCTGCCGATAATGGACAAGTGTCAGTGCTGGTCCTACTGGACCTTAGTGCTGCATTTGACACAATAGACCACAGCATTCTACTGCAGAGGCTAGAATGTGATATAGGTCTTAGAGGAACAGCCCTTGGCTGGTTTAAATCCTATTTATCAGATCGATATCACTTCGTCAATGTGAATCAGGACTCGTCGCCTTATTCTGGAGTGGAATTCGGTGTGCCGCAGGGTTCGGTACTCGGACCGATTCTTTTTACTCTCTACATGCTGCCACTGGGAAACATTATTAAAAAGCATGGAATTAATTTCCACTGCTATGCAGATGACACACAGCTTTATCTGTCGATGAAGCCTAATCAGACAGATCAGCTAGAAAAGCTCAGTGCCTGCATAAAGGACCTTAAAATGTGGATGACTCTTAACTTCCTACTTCTCAACCCGGAGAAGACAGAAGTGATCCTACTCGGTCCGAAGCGCCTGCGTGACTCCCTCACTAACCAGATGGTTACTCTCGATAATGTCAGTATAATACCCAGTAACACTGTGAGGAATCTTGGAGTCATTTTTGACCAAGAACTCTCCTTCAAGGCTTATATAAGCCAAGCAACTAAAACGGCGTACTTCCACTTACGGAACATCGCTAAAATTAGGAATTTCCTTCCTAAAAGTGACGCGGAAAAACTCATTCACGCGTTTGTCACCTCAAGGCTCGACTACTGTAACGCTTTACTGGCAGCGTGCCCTAAAGCCTCTTTGAAGAGCTTCCAGCTCGTTCAGAATACAGCAGCTAGGATCTTAACAGGTACCAAAAGGAGGGAGCACATAACTCCGGTGTTAAAATCACTCCACTGGCTCCCTGTGGAGTACAGAATAAAGTTTAAAATCCTACTCTTAACATATAAAGCCATAAATGGCTTGGCTCCTTCTTATCTCCAAGACACGTTAGTGTCGTATCAACCAAGTCGAGCGTTGCGCTCACAAAACGCCAGACGTCTGGTGGTCCCTAAGGTCTCAAAGGTCACTGTTGGTGGCAGAGCATTTAGCTACCAAGCTCCTTTACTGTGGAATCAGCTTCCCATTTATGTTAAGGAAGCAGATACGGTCTCCACATTCAAGGCCAGGCTTAAAGCACTTTACTTTAATTTAGCATATAATTAGGTAATATATAATATGTAGTGTATATATTATATATATATGCTGTATTATGTTATATATTATGTTATATATTATTCAATAATGTATTGTGTTATGTTGTATATTATGTTATATATTATGCTGTATGTTATTCTTTATTCAAGGCTAGGTTTAAAACAGTCCTCTTTAGTTTAGCATATGGCTAGGAAGGTAAGACTCGGAGAAGGTTAAACTCCTCAGAGTGTTAGTCAAGC